GTTGAGGGAGGCTGGGTTGTCAAAAAAGAAAAGAAGCAAAAAATGAAGTACCTGTCATTGCGATGTACTGTTATTGGTGGGAAATGTACGTAGGGAGAAGACTTGGTTGAAATGGTAGTTTTCATTACACGTCAACACTAATATTGTTCAACTCATTTGTGTTTGGGAGTAAATATGTAATAAATTCACTGAAACCATGCATGGTTGTGATGTGGAGTATTTGTCCTTTTCGATCTTTCCCCTGTGTTGACTAACCTGTTGATCACAGAGCATTTTTTGAACAGTGTTAAATTTAGAAGCAGAACATAAGTAGGCTGGTCCGTTTTGCTGTTTGATGGGTACAGTGCCACAGATCAGGAGGGACAGTCAAAGGCTGAAATAGTGTAAGAAAAAAAAATTGGGCCTACAGCAGTAAACAGCCTATGAAATTTAGAATGGCAGGAGAATCGTGTAAAAGTGCATTTTTTTTAATTTTGTAAACTTATATTGTAATTATTTGTGTATGCGTATAAAATTATTCCTTAAGGGGGTTGTAATTTACATTATAGAGTTCTGGTGGAGATTTAATTTGTATTGATTCTATGGAAGATTGAGATGCTACTTATTATTTTGCATAGTTAGTATCATGTAAAATGTATGTAGTTGTAACTTAGATTGTACTTATTTGTGTAGACGTGTTAAACTATTGCTTTAAGGTGGGTTTTAGTTTACGTTATAGGGCTCTGATGAACACTATATGGACAGCAGTATTGAGACACCTGGCCATTACACCTACAGGAACTCTTTTGACATTCCATTCTAAATCCATAGGCATCAATATGGAGTTGGTTCCCCCTTTACAGCTATAACAGCTGTCACTCTTCTGGGAAGGCTTCCTACAAGATTTTGGAGTGTGTCTGTGGGAATTTTTGCCCAATCATCCAGAAGAGCATTTCTGAGGTCAGGCACTGATTTTGTACATGAAAGTCTGGTTCACAATCTCCATTCTAGTTCATCTAATTGGTGTTTGATGGGGTTGAGGGACCATGCTTTGTGCACTGGGGCACAGTCATGCTGGAACAGAAAAGGGCCTTCCCTAAACTGTTCCCACAAAACTGGAAGCACAGAATTGTCCAAAATGTCTTGGTATGCATTGCGAGCCAGGTCTTCACTCCCAACATCAGTGCCTGACCTCACCAACATCAGTGTAAGACCCCACCTAGAATATTGTGTGCAGGTTTGGTCACCATACCTTAAGAAGGACATTACTGTCTTAGAAAAGGTGCAACGGAGGGCTACGAGAATGATTCCTGGTCTTAGAGGAATGTCTTATGAGGAGAGGTTAGCTGAGCTGAATCTGTTTAGCCTTGAGCAAAAGAGACTAAGGGGGGACATGATCCAGGTCTATAAGATTCTAACGGGTTTGGATGCTGTTCAGTCAAATGGCTACTTCAATATTAGTTTAAATACTAGAACTCGTGGCCATAAGTGGAAATTAGCGGGAGAACATTTTAAAACAAATTTGAGGAAGCACTTCTTTACACAGCGTGTAGTTAGAGTATGGAATAGTCTTCCTGCTAGTGTAGCGGAAGCTAAAACCCTGGGTTCCTTTAAATCAGAGCTAGATAAGATTTTAACAACTCTGAGCTATTAGTTAAGTTCGCCCCAAACAAGCTTTATGGGCCGAATGGTCCCCTCTCGTTTGTAAATTTCTTATGTTCTTATGTTCTTAAATGTTCTCCTGGATGAATGGGCAAAAATTCCCACAGACACACTCCATAATCTTGTGGAAAACCTTCCCAGAAAAGTGGCAGCTGTTATAGCTGCACAGGGGGGACCAACTCCATATTAATGCCTATGGATTTAAAATGGGATGTAATAAAAGTTCCTGTGGGTGTAATGGCCAGGTGTCCCAATACCTTTGTCCATCTAGTGCATATCCATAGTGCAGTTTATGGTGAGTCTATGGATGATTTGGCATGTTAATTATTATTTTGTATAGATAGTACTTAGTATAGCAAGTACTCGGAATAGTTACTTTGTCAAACTTTTATCTTTTTCCTTACAGATAAATTGGTGTCTTTCATGAACATTAAAAGGGAAAATTCCTGATACCACAGTGCTGTTTCTATACATTGAAGCTTTTCTACAGATGTGACACATCTTCTAGTGCAGGACTGTTCACAGATACACTGCATTACTTTAAATTAAAAAGTAAAGTAAGTAGTTAAAGCTATTTGGTGGCTTGCTGCACAGTTCAAGCAGAAGTAATCTGTGCAGCTTGGAAATGCACAAGATATTCCCCAGGTTGTGTACTTGTGCTGAAATCCACCGAGGGCTTGCTGAGCTTCCAAGAATCCCGGAGTTCTTTTCCAGAGATCACTCGTGGCAGGTCAGGAAGTCTCCTTCAGAAGAAGCAGTTCCAGGTGCCTCGTCTCAGACCTTCTGCTTTTCCCCTTAACCCCATGTGTTTTCCCAGTACGGAATGGCAAATTTCCCCATTTGTCATAGGTCTCCCCTCCCTGCCACAACAGACAGCACCCAAAGCGACACCAATGTGTGTGTTATCTGCTCATTAGCTCCTTTCCTTGCTACAGTCTCTGGAATATAGCAGGCCAGCCCAGCCCAGCTCGGCATATACAAGGGGGAAGAGGCAGAACCAGCTGTCTGACTCACCCAACACACAGTCAGAGAAGGGTACGAACAACAGTAATGTTCCCCAAATGCTATAAATATGTTACTCATTTCTGTTCTTTCAGACAAAATGGTACATCTACCTACAGCTAGGAAACAATTGGCAGACCTGTGAGGGAACATCCCTAGTGACAAGTAATCATACATCCAAACGTACAAATTAGTACTTTTTCCTGACAGTGCAGAACCCTGGGCCAGTTTCTCATGCACTAACCAAACAACATCTCTTAAACAACACAGGTCCCAAAAATACAAAAATAAGATCTTCGTTTGCCTGGTAAAAAAAAAAACGATTTTGAGCCTTCAGCAGCCTGTAAAAGACATCAGCCTGTTCTGGACTAGCATCAATCTTGGGCTAAAATGCAACTATGAAAAGATTGATGGTAACACTTTTTAATTTATAAACACATTCATAATGCATTATAATACATTCATAAAGCATTTTAAACATGGCTATAAATATTTATGAAAAAGCATAACACTTTATAACCATGTTCATTATGTTTTATGATATGCAGCTCACATCTATAATGAACTATACATACCTTTATGAATGCATTTTTATTTATTATGAATGTGTTTACAAATGACTAAAAACATGGCATTAAGTGTTACCAGATTGGTTTTGTGAATTTGACCTCATGGGACAAATAAAAATAAAAAACTTTCCAATAAAAAATATGTCCAACAATTCACCAAACAATGAGCATGTGTATGTGAGCGTATATTGTGTGTTTGCGTGCGCGAGTCTGTGTCTCAGAGAGAGAGAGAGAGAGAGAGAGAGAGAGAGAGAGAGAGAGAGAGAGCGAGCGAGCGAGAGCGCGCAATCGCAGCATTGATTTCTCAGGAGCGGTGGCGACTGCTGTCTGTCGCCAGTGGGCAGTAGATAGCTGGTCGCTTTGTGCTGAATTTCCATTAGATCTGTACCTCTCTTTGAAACATTACGGGGAAGGAGAAAAGATGGCAACTCTGGAGCAGCTGTCATCCACAATGCCCTGCGTTTTCAGAGAGACAACGGTCAGCGTCGCCCGACCATGGAATTAAAGAGATACATGAACGACGAAAGAGAACGGAGTTTTAGTCGGTTGAAATGCTTGGGATCATTCTGTAGTTTTTCCGCTTCAGCATCAGCAGCAGACTAACAGTACATTGCCTGACAGGCATACTGGTGTGTTAATCGTTTAATTATTAATATCACACTACTGACATTGCTGTGATTCAGACCTCCTGCAAAAAGTTTGTGGGGGAGGAAAAACAGTTTATCCCTTTGATCCTTCATTTCATCATTTCATTAAAAAGAGGAAAATGAGGTAAGCAACAGCAAGCATGCTATCGCTCTGAATCAGGTCTTTATTATCAAAGCGCGATGTGGTTTTGCTGCACACGGCGGACGCGTGCTACTGCAGTTTAGTCTTCGTTTATATTTTATTCCAGATCGTTGGGGGATAATCCGAACCTTTTGTATATATTTAGTTTTTTAATAACAATAAGTGCAGCGTTTTGCCGGGTGCATTTGCAAATGATACTAGTGTGGTGTTTCTATCTATAATTTCGAAGGTGGGGCAGTGTGTATCTGTAATTTAAACAGAGTAAACTGTGTTTATCTACTACATACTTTTAGAAATATGCAATTGAACGGTGCATATTTTAAGTAAAAATTAAACTGAATAATAAGAGTATGCTAGTATATTATAAAAGAGATTTACTGATAAACAACCGACCCATTATTCTGTCACATTATAGCGAGGGCTGCGGCGAGAGACCACGTTGTCATGGAAACGAGGCTACGCATACGTTTGTAAACCGTGAAAAGGTTATAAGGAGCACCGATTTTGAAGGATGTTAAGATAATTCTCTAAATAATTTATAAGCTGAAAAGTTTTCATTGGATTTAGTATAACAACTCGACTAGAGGGCATGTTCATTAAGGCGGCCCTCTGTTACTGAATGAACATAGACCGATAAACCGGCGGACTCCGTCAATAGAGGCGGCGCGCGACGGAGCGCCGGGTCCTTTTCGCTCCCTCGTGAGCGTCACGGGTCCAGTAAAAAGCACAACCCCTCCTGGGCGCGCTGCGTAAACATCCTCCTGGTCTCCGTAGCCCCCCCCCCATTCCTCCCAACACTGACGTACTTAACCTCCGCCAACCCCCAGGGGCGAGGACACCGTGCGAGAGGCTACTGAACAAAAACGGGAAAATGCAAACGCTAGATGTGTATATGGCCTAGTAAAGCCAAGGATCTAGTCTCCACGTGCTATTATGGGGATGTCCATATTTATTGGCACTGATTGCTGTTTTTAATCGTTTAGTTAATATCTAAATGGATATTATTATAAGAAAGACATTACCATACATGCACCGTACATCACGATCCTAATGCATGCAATTTATAATGTATGAAATATTTCCCTTTGCTTTCCTTCAAAGGTTTCGATGGTCAGGGGCTCCAGAATTTCTAGCAAAGCCCCTGCCAGTAAGACACGTGCTTTGATTGCCTGTTTGATCGTACCCAACATAAAACAAAGTTTATTTGGGAGACGCAGAAGCTGAAAATCCAGATTGTTATAGTAAGCAGTGGGCCTCCTCCTATTAAGCAGAAGCTTTCCAATTTATTAATATGGTGTCCATTGGGTGTGAAATCTGCCGCGGAGACAGTAGACCACATCTTCTATCCAGGGTGGGGGAACGGGTTTCTCATAAGGAAAGTGAGCAATGTGCAGACGTCTCCGGTTTCCTCCAAATGCATCACCGCAGGTTTCCTTCGATGGGAAACGGCCGTATATTTAGCCTGTCACCGGAGAGCTCCCCTGCTCTGTGTGGAGCTTTTACACGGCGGCCAGCTTCATATTCCCATATTCCTGAGGTCCCCGGGTAGTTTGAATCGCCGGGTTGGAGCATAAACCCTGACAGTCCATCACCATCCTGGTGCCTGAAAGGATGATGGAGGCCTACCCCCATGGACGCCTGCTCCTTCTCCTTAGCTGCAGGAGCAAAGTTCAATGGAATTTTGTATGTTAATCTACTCTGAGATATATAATAGGCCTATCTAATTAATGTACAAGACATTGCTGATTTTATACAAAACTACTACAACAGTCATGTATTATTTTACCCTTATTACACATTAGTTTACAGTAACAAGAACAAAGTATTGAAACATTGTGTTAGTAAATTAGGAATTGCATTAGGAAGTTGTAGTTGTATTCGGAAATTTAATGCACATGAAAGACATTTTAATTAGACCCCGGAAATATTTATGTAAGCACTAACTATAGAAAACAAGAACAACAATAATAATAATTCGTTTCCTTCTTTAAATATAATGGCCGATGATTTATAATCTAGTAGCCAAAATTGTAGAAAAACCTAGTATTTTTGGCATTGCGCTTTCAAAATTATACAAATTTTGGCGGTAATGTTTAGAAACAATCAAAAAATGTTTACAAATCGGCCTATCTTATATTGGACAATTAATGAAGTAACTGGAGTAAATGGAATAAGGCTCGGCAATCTGTAAAAGCTGGAAGTGTTTCCACAATTTTGGCTACCGGTGTACATTTGAAATGAGCAGACAGCTGATTCCAAGGTAATTTCACTGAAGTTTGTTAGCGAGTACAGAAGCAGGTAAAGTTATTTGTCAAACTTCACTTTGGACTTGCACTGCATTTCTAACAGCCAAAGAGATATTTAAAATATCGATTTATGTAGGATAAGAAGTAACCTATAAAGTCTCAAAACTGAAATGATCCAGTTTGAGGTGAGGGACCGATGCCGACTTGCCGGGGAAGGTGTGAGATGATACGCTAGACCATAAAATCTGGTGTCTGGCTCCTTGACAAGCCCACAAGAACCTTCAACCGACATAATAAACACATTTTAGCAAGGTTATAACTGTGAACGTCAAACAAATACATTCAGATAAGGCGTTACGGAGCAATGCAACACGCACAGCAGAGCAGAAGGACCCTGAAACATGTCGTTATCACCTGTGTTGTGCTGTAAAGGCATGAAAATGCAAATGTGTGACCAGATTAACGTGCTGTTTTGGTCTGACATCTGTTGCAATATTAAATACTGTCACACTGCACTCGAGTGGGTTTGATACCATAGAAAGGTAGAGTAAATAGTGTTTTGAACCTGTGTAACACTAAGGCTTAGTATGCTTTGTGGTTCAGATACATTAAAAAGCCACTTTATTTGCTGTTCCTAGCGAGTATCGGGTAGGACCCACGTTTGCCTCCAGAACTGCTTCAAGGGTAAACAAGCTGTGCATTCAGAGAAGCCATTCTGCACATCCCTGTTGTAATGAGCTGTCATCTTTACATTCTTCCTGTTATCTTTAACTATTTAGTTTTCCTGTCACCTGAAGTTATGTCCATTTCCCTCCAACCTCCCTCATTCACAAGATATTTTCACCCCCAGAACTGCTGCTGACTGGACGTGTTTTATTCATCACATCATTCTCTGTAAACTTTAGATTCGCATTTCCTCAGATTTGTGATTTGTATATTCATATCCTACTGAGACCCAGGGAGAAAAGTGTCCTTCAATTTTAGGTTTTTTGTCTTTGGAGGAAATAAGACATCTTACAATTTAGATTTTTTTCAAATTTATGTTTATTTCTAATTTCACAGCATGTTCTCTTTAGCGTACAACAGGAATAAATATATTTCCTTACATCGGTGAAAAGATAGATGCAAAAAGAAAATGTCCACTACAATGGGCATAAATGAATGGGTGGGGTCTCAGGAAGATATACATAAAAAAATGAAATAGACAAATATCACAATAACGAGTAGGGTATAAAATATAAAAAACAGATAAATAGTCAAATAAATGTATTTAAATAGGATAGTCGGCCAGTGTTAAAGTTTCCAGTGTTAAAGTTTCCAGTGTTAAAGTAACCAGTATTGGGAGGGGAAGTTAAAGGGATGTGGAGGGTATGTGTATCCTGGGGTGTGTGACACTGAATGAGTGAGTGCATGAGAATCTCAGCAAGGTGGCTGTGTCTGAGGAGCTGGAACCACCACGTCTGGCAGCAGTAATCATACCGTGTTCAAAATCACTTAGCTCAGACGTCTTGGCCACCTCAGTGCTTAGTCGAATGATCTAAGCAAACCTAAGTAAGTTAACCTCTTGACCTTGTCTGCATGCTGCATGTATTCAGCTGCAGCCACATGATTCATTGTTTTGAGGACCAGGCTGTCAGCATTAGCAAGCAGGTGTAGCTAATAAATTAGCCACTGGGTGTAAATTCCACCAGTACTGATGCTATTCCTGTTAAAGTGAACTTTTTGTTTTTTGTAATGGTTGTAGGACCTGATTAACACACATTTGAACATATTGAAACCAGCAAAATGCCAGTTCAGATCTCAGGAAGGGATCTCAGCACTTGGACCCTTTGGAGAAGTACTGAAACCAAATTGCCCAAGTCTGTGTCTGGCTGTATAAAAGTTAAATAGAGTAATAATAATCTAACGAATGCTTTAGCAGCTGCCTTTATTGAAGCCGCTCTTACTGGCCTGCTAGCTGAAGCTTTTCCATTACTTCACAGGTACAGCGCCAGGCTTCCGTCGAACGCTTGTACAAATAACCTTGACTGGAGGCTTTAGCCTCTGCCTTACTGACACTGTTAATTATTCGCCGCTCTGGGCGCTGTATAGCAGACCTGTCAGCCCTCTGTCTTGCAGGCGCAGCTTGACATTTTATTCCAGCAGAATCTCCAAGTGCAAACCAAGGTTAGGAATTTGGCGGGGGGGGGGGTCTTTACTTCTGCTTCATCTCAGTTATATGTAACAGAAAAAGCATCACGCGTACAACAATTATTCAGTGTCTCTTCATTGTTATTTTAACATTTGCATTGACTTGTAGACCCACAACTTTTATCCAAAGCCTATTATGTGTTTGCAGAGCTAAATATTTTCACTGAAATATGTGGACCATGTAGATTATGTGACCCCCTACCCTGACTTACGTCTAAGTTAAACTTAGAGCCGTTGCAGGGTGGGTTGCCTTAACAATCTGGAGATGGACCCGGGAACGTCGTAAAGGCATTATTATGCTAGCTGTGCATTGATATTTATATCCAGACCGAGATCCAAGCCAGCGGCTGAGTAAATGGTTTGCCATTTTGTTTATGATGCATGACAGCAATACTTAAAATATGTCCAACCCTTTTTTTTTGGCCACATATATAATTAAATTTGTCAGCTAATGGAAAATGAGAGAGAGGTGCCAGCCGTGGTGTTTACCGATGTCAAGCAGAGTGCACACAGCGGGAGGGAAGGATGATGAAGGGGATTCGAACC